ATAATGTTCAAGAATAGTGGTATCAGTGGTGGATGTCCAAGTTCTGCTATGGTACAGGAGAGGAATTTCTCGGAGTCCAGCAAAGAGCGCTATGTATGGCTGCTATTTTGTGCTACAGTGTGAGCTTCTGTAGTGTAGTGGTTGAACATGCTGTGTTGGACACTGAAATTGCAGGTTGCTGGTTCAATTCCCTGTGGTGGCATTTTTTTTGCCGCCGCTGCACCCACTAACAAATATTGTACACTTGACCTTGATCAAGAGCAGCTGTCCTTTGATTTACTTCCATGCATATCATCTTTATTCAATACATCTCACAGTGAACTTGGGCATGAACTTGAACAGGGACTTGGAGGACTTGGCCAAGTACCTGGTACTTGACCAAGTCGACCCACCCGACTTGGCCAAGTCCATTGGACTTGGGGTACTTGAGGTACTTGGGATACTTGAGGTACTTGGCCAAGTACCCCAAGTACCTGTACAAGTCCGTGACGTTTTCCTGATGCGTAACACTGCAATCTGCAGCGTGTTTAGCTACACTCTTGTACTGCATCATAAGTGATTCCCTATTGATTTCCAGCTGGCGCAAGCGAAGATCCGGCACCCGGAAACCGTGCAAATTCCCATGTTTTACAGGTGTAAATCCCGCCCCGGCCTTCTGACCCGCTGTCTAACCGAGGTTTTTCTCCTGTCTGAGACCACGCCAGATTGACCGTGGAAAGCCGTCATCTTGACGCGCTTTTTGCTCGTCCATAAACCGGTGTTCGACCAGGGTTTTCTGCTCCATTTCCTTGGCCGGACCGCACTATTTCCTCGGTTTTCCCCTGTGGGTTTTGCACAGTCCCGGGCGCCATAGTGTGAAGGGTAGAGGTGTGGCTGGGTCATTGTATCGTGTCAAGAAATTGGAGGGCGCATCAGAAGAGCTCGATGAGTGTTAGAAGGAGAGATTGAGAGAGTCAGAGACTTTGTGGACCTCGAGTAGGGGTTCGAGAGCAAGCTGCGAGACACGCGCCGCCGCTGCCGCTGCCGCCGAAGCGCGTCGGCCGCGTGATGGCGTGCAACACAGTGCCTTCCCGGTTTGGACAGTCTTCAGGACGTCCATCAAGGCTGCCGTCCGCCCTACCATCCTGTCCTCCGCAAAGGTTCTGGAGGAGCGGTCTCACCGGATGTCGATTCTAGTGGTAATAAGAAGATATATGGTGAGCACAATATGCTCGCGCTAGACACAGACGCAGGAAAGCGCACTGAGGTACGTTTTCTGCTCATCATTGTGTGCACAATTGCTATACGTATACGTGCACACACACTGAATTCATCCTCCTTGCCCTCTTGAGATCCCTCTGTTCCCTCCTCGGTCTGCTCCAGTCTCGTTTCAGGTCAAGAACAGGCATAACCGCCCAAATGCGGCGCGGCCATGGTGAGGCGGACTCGATCCAGTGAATTGCTGATGCAGCTGCCCAGACACGCACCGTCGCAGTCGATCATCTCGACCCGATCGCACGAGATGAGAAGCCTTGGCGTAGAGAAGGATGGGCGATCTGTGGTCGAACTCGGCTGACCACTTAGTCCCCCCGAAGCCGAACCGAGTACGGACGTGTCGATGTTCGCCATCGATCACCGCCAGCCTCTGTCCTTCTGGCCCATAAAAACCCTCCTCCAATCCTCACCTCTCTCTCCTTAGAATCCCCATCTTCTCTTACTTCTCTCAATGCTCTAGGTGCGCCGGCGACTCGCACCAGCCACTTGATGTTGGGTCGCTGGCCGTACGCTCCGCTGCGAGAGATGTAAAGTCGGGTTCATTCTCGCCGCCTCAGGGTAACATCATACGGGCACCTCCTCACGACGCTGTACGCCGCATCCCGCGTCTACCATCTCGCCCCATACTGATTTTCTGCTCCCAGTCAACGTCGGCGGTGCCCAGCAATCCTTGTTCCTTATGGCTGATCCACAACCATGTACGATCCATATTATCTCCACATGGGTCGACTCGTACTCACGTTACCACCGTCACAGTACGCTTTGCGCATCGAGGTGTCAGCCGCCCGTCGATGGTCAGTCCACCAGGTGGCGATCGACGTTCGCGCCGCGTCCTACTCGGGCTCGTTCTCACCCCTGCCACCAAACACCGTGGCGGCAGGAAATGGTAGGCGAGCCAACGCCTTTCCGGTAATGTTGCCTGTCAGGGATGGGCGACTCGGATTGTGTGGAGTGGATGCGTCGCATTGCAAGGCTGAGCCTCGGACCGGTGAGTCCCAACACGCTCATGCATTGTTTCGCAAGAAGTTGATGTGGTATCATATACTGTAGCGTTCACCGGTATCCCCAGGACCTTGTCGGCCGTCATCGTGAATTCAGGTGCGTATTCCTATCTTTTGTCTGCGCTAATGGCTCCGTTGTGTTTCAGTGTTGGGACGCGGCTAGGAGGCGCATTTTGGAGGGCCAAGTATGCCTCTAGCTCTTGTACTATCCGATCACGTCTCGCAAGGCTTTTGAGATTTGGAAAATATGTCCCGGTCTGGCCGAAGTGAGACGTTTGCGGAAGCCAAGGACAGGACTTCCGCCCTGTGTGGCCGTTTTCCAGGACAATCACGACTATCTGGTACAGAAGGCCAAGCACGCAAGTGTATTCACCAGGGTGCATACGGCCCCCTTCTGAATGAGGTAGCGACCCAGTGCATGGAGTTGGTGGGGAGTGCTAGAGGTGGATCTGATATAGTTGCGAGTACCCGGCCGTTTTCGATCACGCCTGGCTCACGATATCGGACGATGATCCACTTCTTAATACAGCCGGGCAATCCGGGGTTGTGTAGCCATCGCACAACAATGATCAGTTCGTTATCTACCGTCCTGTTCGCTGACCCCGTAGCTCGACGCAAACGATGCCCTATCTGCATGGCTGGTACAAGCCTATGAACATCACCCATAAGTAGTTATATATGCACGAGTGACCTTGCCCTCCTCCCACAGGTACGACTGTGTGGTGGACGCGCGCGGACAGCCTGTAGTCGTGACAGCATATAGCCCATGTAGGTGCTGCCCTGATGATAACCTACATTGCGTTATGCATGTGAAAGTGTGAGTTTGGACAGCTAGCACTGTACTCAGCGGCATATCTTCGCGAGCATGTGGCGGCCTACCTTGGATGAGGTTGTTGACTACATTGACGAAGCATCACTAGCCTTTCGTTTATGCCAGCCAACCTGAACTATGAAATCACAGTGGAGCGGACCCGCAAGTCTTTGCGCCGCAGAGCGCAACGATGCAGGGTGCGAACATGTTCATACTGCTCCTATGTAGGTATAGTTGTTGATCGATGATGTTCTCGCAGACTTCGACAAGAGTGTGCCTAATAGCAGTGGGATAGCCAGAAGGGGGATTGTTGTCCATGACGTGGGTGTGAAAGCTGAGTGAGACTAATGCACTGCAGCGGAGAGCGTAGCACTGTAGACGAAGGAGACATTATTTAGCAGCCTTGGAGTATCCACGCATTGGTACAGCAATGACGTCAAGCTGCAACACAAGAGCAATTCAGGATCTCAACCGATCGCCTAGCCGCGATCTAACACCGACAGGCTGCAAGATCAAAGGTGTATGTGGACACTGTGCCTTGTCCGCATATACGGTCGGAACAATGTCTTATACTCGTATGCGAAAGCTAAACAGGATATTCAAGCGAATTGTCGGCGAAGCTCAACTCCGAGCCTACTCATCATCTTCGTCGCTGTCGTCGGCTTCATCAAGCCACTAGCATAGAAGTCAGCACAACGGGTTTGAGTGACACCGAAGAGGGGAAAGACTGACCTTCAGGAAGGGCTCGCTAGCCTTGCGGACCTTCTTGCTCGTGTCGCGATCTACATACTTCTTGCTCACGTGCGTGCCCCATTGCTTCACAACCTCCTCGTCCAGGACATCGACCTGGTAGAACGCCATGAGAATCTTGGGCACGACGGGTATGAGGTCCGGATGCTCGATGCCAACAAGGCGCTCGATACCGCCCAGAAGAGACTTCTGGTGCTTCTCGGAGGTCACCATCTACAACGACATGTCAACGTCGTCACAGAGACCGCTACGAAAGTCAGGCAACGCACCTTTACGAAGAGGGGTGCATACTTCTCAATCTCAGCAACAACATTCTCAGTGAACAACGTCTGCGCGATGACCGTAAGACTGTTGTGTTTCTTCGCGATACCGAACTCGTCCGCCTTCTTGTAGATCTCGACGGCGCCCGCGTCACGATTCTCCTCAATCCAGTGGCCGAGCTGCGCGTAAGGGCTGTCCGCGTCTTCCTCGCTGTCGTCGTCACCACCAACGGCGAGCGCCACGCTGGCCATCGACGCCTCGACGGCCTTCAGGCGCGCCTTCACCGCCTCCGGAGACGTGTCCTGCGACCAGTCCTCCTTCGCGATCGCGGACTCGTCGTTGAGCTTGGCCGCATCCGCCTTGATGCGCTTCGTGAGCTCGTCGTCGCTCTCGGCCCCAACGTCATCTTCAACGTCTCCGTTCTCAGGCGCCGTAGCGTGCGTGCCGTTCGGGGTCGGGCTGTCGCCGCTCCCCTTCTTCGACTTGCTCTTCTTCGGGTTCTTCGGTGGATTCTTGACGATGAACGTCGTGAGCTTGTGACGCATGTCAACGCCGGTGCGCTCGCCACACGCCTTGCAGTCCCGAATGATCTCCTCAGTCTTGGTGATAATCAGATCAGTCTCCGGGTTCTTGCACGCCTTGCACAGCACGAACTTCTCGATGAAGACGTCGAGAAGCTCGCGCAGCTTCGTTGCATCGTGCGCCCCATTGACTATGTACCGGTCGTTCTTCTCGTCGAACGACGTCTGCGCACCAAGTTCACAACCGAAGAACTTGGTCGGGTAGGTGGGGGGTCGGCTGAGCGCACGAGCCACGTCGGACATGTTCGGGAGGACTGTCTTGATACCGTTCCCCTTGCCCTCGATCTTCGTGGTCAAGACAGGCATGCTGCACGCAGGGATTGCTCAGGACAGAGGACTCGCAAGCTGGATAGTTGGGTACTCACCGGTAGCGGTAGAACTTGTCGTCGACATCACGACGAATGTTAACAACACCAGCGGAAGCCATACTGGGCAATAATTAACGCTGTATAAGGGCGGGCGAGGTCAGAAGGGCGGCAAGGCAAGGGGGGAAGCAAACTGACAGTACTGAGTAAATTGGGATGAAGCTGTCTTTTGTGTGTCGGTTGAGTGATTGGAGGTCGAAGCATGAATCCTCTGCTTGCACAGAAGATGTAGGTCGCGGTAAAAGAGTAGGACGAAATGGTGGACAACAGGACGGCAATCGAATGCGCGGGGCGATGAGCGAGGTGGTGGACGGGATGCAGGCTTGTTTCCCGCTCGGGGCCCATTTTACGGCCCTCGGAAACTCCCGCTCACACTTATGTAAGCACTCGCTGAGTAAACGTGCGTGCAGCTTTGTGCCGGCCGCGTCTGCAGCCTCAGTTGGCCACGCGAATACGGCCGTGCCAAGGAGGTACGAGTCTAGCCCGTGAGCTATACTAAGCCCACATACTCACACAGGAGAGCGTCATACGGGTAGGCTATCGAATCACTCAAAGAGATAATTTATTAGCTCAGTGACGACGCGCACATTCACGCTATTCCCGATTAGTCTGTACTTGGTCTTCGTCGAGATATCCTCAGGCCACACAAATCTACGACGGCCCTGCCCATCGCTGTTCGGGGGTAGGAAGGCAAAGAGGCGCAAGAGCTCTGTGGGAGAGAAATAGCGCAACTTTAGCGGCTCCAGTAGCCGGACCGCAGCGTCATCTCCGGCACGCTGAGCCTCAAGAAACGCGTCGAACGTCCGTGTGGTCTGCAGCGAGAAGAAATCGGCATGGGAGCCCGTCTCCGAGGTAGGATTCGGGGGATGACTCACATCAAGATCTTCATTCATTTGCAACACGGATCCGGCGCGTTCCGCGAGCTTGGTGTAGCCTGTCCAACCTCACCTCAGAACAATATCGGGAATGGGTCGGATTCAGCAGGCAAATGCACAGTACAAAGTACTCCAGCTACACTTCAGTCGTGGTGAGATAGCACGCACACTGCGTTCTGCTCCAGTCAAACACCGGGCTGGATAGACACATCCGGCGCGTCACTGCATACGCGGACGAGATCTAGGTGCGAACACTCGTCGCTTGGCGACTAGGTAGTAAGAGAGAAATTTACGTGTAATGCAATATCCACTCCTAGCAACATTGCATCATGAGGCGTCCCCAGAAGTGGCAAGTATATGAAGTTCCATATGACCACTAACCGATCGCCTTCTCAGTAGGCAGAGGCTCAATCTGTGAGGCCGCTATGTCACCGAGGCGACTGTGAGATGAATACATCGCACAGGTAATGAATGCCCTAACCACGGAGGTAAAATATGCCGTCTCGGAGGCATGACACGGACTCCACAGATTTGGTGAGCGACCTTGCGTCGTATGGCCCCGGGATCAGTAAAAAGCACTCGCATGTAATGCGGAGGCCTCGGTGCATGTGACGTGCCGGCAAGGATCTGCACTTCAAGCCGCGAATACAAAAAACTCGAGAGCAGTCCACGCGCGCCCAAGACATCATGAAGCGCAACGAACGGCACAACGTAGCTCGAGGTCCTACCGAACCATAAACTAAAGCAGGCGTCAGGCTCACCTCGAGTAAAGCAACAAGTCCGTTTATCTGAAGGACGGACGATGTCAAACAAGCGTCCCCACTTTTCCAGTACCCTTTGCGGAATTGCATGAGAAGGCGGGTCGGCGCCCGTGTCTTCATCCAGGTACTCCCGGACCTCCGCGACCTCGACTTCCGAACTCTCCTCCTCGGACTGCGTTCTCGGGTCAGTCCAGTCGCTGCCGTGTCCCGGGATATGGCGCCAGATTCGATCCGCCGAATCATTTGCGTTTGCGAACGCCAAGGGACTCGCCTTGGCGAGGAGATAATATCGGAGTCGCGAGTTTGGGATCCCGAACTGAAGAGGGGTGAGGAGAAGCTCCACGGTCGAGTATTTTACCGCGCGTAGGGTGGCTAAGAGCCGTATTCGGGTGCTCGACGTCTGGATGACCACGGCCGATCAGCATTGCAATTCTAGGTCGAGCGAGACGACACACCTCGAATCCTGCAACATTCTCCACGAGCATGTATTGTGGGTGCTTGCCCATCTGCACGAGTTCCGGGAGTACCTCCTCCATGAGCCGGATGAACGACTTCGCGCGCGGGTCTTCTGCACCCTTGGCTAGCGGATTCAGCACTGTATACGGCTGGCACGACGGGGACAACAACCACAGAGTAGCGTCGAGCTCCGCGATGTCTGGAGCGGTCAAAGACGATATGTCGGCCTGTAGATACTAAAGGTAGGTGATGCTCGGACCGGCTCGAGAAAGGGATCAGCGAGCGACCTTTTGCACCACGACATGTGAGTGGTTCGCAGAGTACACGCGACATGCGGCTTGGTCCCAGTCAAACGCGTGTACGATAGACCCATCGAGATTGCTCTGGGCGAGGGCGCAGTGCAGACCGCCTGCGCAAACTATCAGGTCATTGCGAAGGCGCGACGAGCGAGAACGCGAATTTTCGCACCCGGCCGGATTGAGATTGACCGCGACCGCGCAGTCGATCCAGTCAGCAGCAAAGGAATCGGGATGTGAGCGGAAGACTCGCGTACGTCACGGCGGTCAGTGCGTTGCCCCCAGGAAAAGACTGCTTGCGGGTTGGATTGTCTCTCTGCTGCTTCGCCAGATCTTGCGGTCGCGGTCAGATCGCGCGGGTGACCAGAGGCAGAAATCCATGTTCCACGAGAGCAAGGTACCACTCACCTATCCCGGAGTAAAATTCGAGGGCTCCCAAGGTCATTGGAGGGCTGTGGTAACCCTAACGTTATCCTGGTCGACTCTTCTCCGTACCCGCGCGATTCTCGGACGGAGCGATCCCCTCTGGGCAGTCGGCTTGCTAGACGTAGGGCAACTTTCAGGGTCGTGGAGCGGCGAAGCGCGACCAGAACGCAGCAAATTTCGTGATGTGCGCGAGGAGCTGGAAGAGGATTATCGTCAAGTGTGGCCAAGACTGAGAGGTTGTGCCTCTCCCGCGCGCTCCCGTAATATTGGGTAGGGGCGCTTACATCAGCACACCCTGTTTCGAACACCATCTCTAGTCTTGTGTCCCCGAGGGTTCTCTCAGCGATACCACGACCTCGTCCCTCCGCTTTGTTCTCCTCCCTCCACTCTGCTGGCCCTTATTTCTGCTTTTCTGGCTTCCCTCACCTTCTGCGACGATCAAGTCAACTATCCTGGCTGCTGCAAGCCTGTCACAAAGTCTTGTGGTTACTCTGCTTTGCCGCTTCGCCACTGCGCTTGCCCTGCCTCGTTCAGTCTGCATAGTTCTCTTTCTCTCGACCAATTCATGCTCTCGGAAGCCCCTGATACCCGGAGTGATGTTGGAGATGAGCCATTAGATGGGATGCCAAGCAGCAGGTGCGCCATATCCCTTGCCGTAGCCTAATGTCCTCCATTCAGACAAAATGGTTCCAGTTCAAGTCACACAGCGCTGCTGCCTGCCTTCGGTCTTGGTCTTCACAAAAAGTCCCACCTTCCTACGCCACAAAGGTCAGTGATGCCGCCTCTCGATCACCGCCGGCTCCCAGCATATCTGACGACGCTTATGGCCACTAATCTGGCATCCGATCAATGAAGCAGTCCCAGCAATGTTGCTGTATACGCCCCCAATATGAACGGTGCCTATACATCTCCCGTGCATCATCTGTACGAGCGTCCGTTTCTGCGCAATCTAACCGAAGTGCTTACCGGACTTCATACCCCCAAGGAATCGGGATGTCCAGAGGAGCCACGTTCAGCGCAAGGTCACCCCAGCCAGGTATGTCCCGAGAATATTGAGTGCATCTCATCATGCCAATCTTATCATAGGGATGACATATCCGGAGTCCCGGCAGCTTCTTTCATGACGCCTGAGTCCAGTCCTCTGCTGCCTCGTAAGATGATGCCACCAGAATCACCGGTTGCAGGACCGTCATCCATACCACATACCCCGCTCCGCCACGAGCTCGCTGGTAATACAGGGGCTGATCACGCCACGAGCCAGCTATCTGTAGATACTGTCATATCTCCATTAGCCCCAGCGCCGATCATCACCACGCCCGTATCAGCACGGAGTCGAGACATGACCCCCGCATCCCGCCTGTCCTCCCCATTCCTGGACAGGCTTTCCGCCACCGACAGGCGCTCAGTAAAATCGCAGTCCAAGTCCCCCATGCCCATCTCGACGGACTCACCCATGGCCGATGTCTTCTCCGCCACCCCACGACCGTCGACGCCTCCGCCGCTCGCCACGCCCGTCCCAAAACGTGCCCTTGGAGGCGAGATGCAACGCATACATCTACAACTCGCCGCTGACCGCGCAGAACGCCTAGCGGAGATGGAGGCTCGCCGACCCGAGTACCTCGTGCGTGAGAAGCGACCACGGTCCGAAGCCGACATCCCCACCTTGGACGAGCTCGACGCAGCCAACGCGACACTGGGCGTCACCGAGACCCCAATGAAGGGTCGCCGGCTGCAGCTGTTCCAGGCGACGAGCGAGGAGACGTTCGAGCAGAGCCTGTTGGCGGGTGGTTATCCTGGGTACGGGCAATCCCCAGCGTACAAGAACGGTGAGCCGCAGACACCCTTGCCCCACGGGAAGAGCCGCAGCTCTTTGTCCCAGCGCGCGCTGCACTGGTTCCAGCAAGCGACTCCAGGTCAGCCTGGGCCCTCGACGACAATTGTGGCCGCCACTGCAGCGCCTTCGCCCGCGGAGGAGCCGGTTGAGTTGCCGAGCGAGCAAGAGATTCGGAAACGAAGGAGGCTGGATGCTTTCAGGGAGCATCCGGAGAAGAAAGAAGCTGCCCCGAAGTTGTACCCTGTCGAGGTCGAAGGCCGCGGCCGTCTGTTGCTCGACGTTCCCCCAGAGGGTACTGTCCCCGTCCACGCCAGGACTCCCGTGAAGCGACGTCCAAACAAGCGCAAGCGGCGACGGGGCGGCCGACGGGGCGCTGCGACCGAGGAGCAAGAAGACGAGCCCGTGCAGCCCAACTGGCCCGACGCCGCGTTCCCATGGTGCCTGCGCGCGCAAGAGCGCACACAAGCGGAGAAGATGAAGCAGGAGGAGCGGCTCAAGTGGGTCAAGCGCTTCCTCGAGCGCGAGAGCGATAGCGACTCGGCAGAGGACGACCAGGAGCTCTGGCCGCCGCTGCAATCGCACGAGAACGACCAGGTCGCGCACCGTCGCGGGCGCGGAAAAATGGTCCCCCTGCGCCCGAACCCCGCCGCGCCTGTGCGCGCGCTAGGAGAGGAGAACATGCTCGTCCCGAGCGACCCCGCAGACGCGCGCGCGGCGCTCCTCTCGAAGCGCTCCGTGCGCACGCTCTCGAGCCGGCGCAGGGAGGCACAAGGCTTGGGCGAGGTCGAGGACGTGAAGTGCATCGGGTGCGCGCGCGGCGACGACGGCACGGAGCTCGTCCAGTGCGACCTCTGCAAGGAGTGGTACCACCTGCCGTGCATCGGCATCCGGCACGTCGCCGAGCTCGGGCGCGAGGAGGACCTCTGGTTCTGCGACACGTGTCTCAACTTGCCCCCCGCGCCGCCCGTCGAGCCGACGTTCGTGCCCACGGACGACCGCCCGCTCGACCAGCTCGTGCGGCCCGACTCGCTCTTCTTGCAGTACGAGCACTCGCTGGTGGAGAGCCCGGCCTCGTGGGACGTCGACGTCCGGCCCGTCGGCGCCGCGCCGCAGACGCCCATCCGGCGCAGGGCGAGCGGCGAGGAAGAGGACGAGGACGGGGGGGGCCTGACGCACGCGTTCTCGACGCGCTCGTCGCGCGGTGCGCCGAAGACCCCGGACTCGTCCGCGAAGACGGTGCGGGTGTACGCGACGCCCAGTGCGTACGCGCTCGCATTCGACCGGGACGGGTTCGACCCGGACACGCCGTTCGACCCGACGACGACGCCGTCGCGCGGGATCAAGTTCAGCGGGGGCCCGCCGCCGACGCTTGGGCTGTCGACCCCGAAGGGGGGTGTGGGGCTCTGGGCGGGGCGGGGCGGGGCGACACCTACGCCGACTCCGACGCTCGCGGCAAGGTTCGGGGCGGGGGCGGGGGGCAGCGTGGGGCCGAGGAGGCTGAACTGGAACGATGGGCGGCACGCGTACGAGACGACGCCGGGGGCGGGGGCGCACTCGAGGAGCATATACTCGGGGGGTACGACGACACGCCGATCACGCGGGCGCCGAGGATCGGGGAGAGGGTCGGGGG